ATATATATATATATATATATATATATATATATTTGAACTGCGCATTTCCATATGGCAGAAGAAATTTGCATGAAATATCGAAAGCGCTTATTCGACCGAGATTATCGGAATATTGAAGAACCTGAACAGTATATAATAAATATTTTTATGCGTATATTTCTATATATTTATGGCTTATTCTGTGCTTAAATTATATATAAATATGTAATTTTCAATGTTTTTATTTGTCAGTAGCAAAAAAGAAATTTATAGCTCTAGTTTGTAGAGAAAATATCTGATAGTAAATAAATTATCGGAAAATTTATAGCATAAAAATAAAAAGAATAGATAGTACGCGTATATAGAACTTATAGAAGAAACGAAATAACATTTCTGAATGGTACGGAAAATTCTCTTTAAAACAAATTTTGTCTTATGGAAACAATTGCATTCTCTTTCTCTCTTTCTTTCTCACCCTCTCTTTATTTTAAACTCATAAGAAGTTCCGTTCGAAATTTATGTTAATACTTCAACGCAATTCGTTTGCACGACTTCATTGTTGATTCTCTTTCGAATCTCTAGCTAAGTGTCATCTTCAAAATAGTAACGACCAAATTTCATTTCCGTAATGCTGTATTCGCAGGAAGGGTACAGAGTAAAGATTCAAGAGCAGTTGTGAGTAAGGTGTCAGGAAGTTTATTAAATCTACGCTTTAAACTAGGTCAAAGCGTTTTGATTGCTAATGTTATTATAAGAGTTTTATGAAATGACGTCTAAAAATTATTTGGTAATTCATCGATAATCGTGATAATTATGCACCTAACATAAATACTTTTAATCTTAGTTCAAGAATATATTTTTGTAGTAATGGATTATGGTTTTTCGCTCAAACATCAAATTTTGTTGCTCATACTTCTTCTATTTAGCTCAATTATTATTCATACTTTTTATTATGCTTATATTCTTTTAATTATACTTTCTATATTCTTTTTTCTTTTCCTGCAATCACTTTTAAATTAATTCATCATTCTTGCCAAAATTTTTATCGAAAAATAAAATTATGTAATATACATAAATGTATAAAGAACCTAAATTATTTTTAAAAAATAAACTGTTAGATGAGACAAGATTTATAAAACACACGTTGCTATTATATCTTTTAATTATAGAAATTAATCAATGTAAAAACATTTCAATTTCAGGGAATCTAGAAAGGGTTTCACTAACTAAATTTTAATCAACTAGTTACTTACTTTTTGCTGCCCAGAGTTTTCCGCCCCTCAGTGCACTGAGAAACCTTTCCATATCTCTTCGACATTCGTCTTGAAGTTTTCCGGGCACTCTGGCCCACCTGAGAGGATCGTAAAGATCAGCGAGCCATTGTATACTGTTAGCCGTCTTTTCAAGTTTTTCCTTCATAAAATCGACGTCGAGATCTCGGTGTTCTTCTTCGTTTCCGTCGAACATCTTCAAGTAATTCTTCCAGTCCAACTCTGGATTATTCTTGCTGAAAGTAATTAAAGGCGACTGTTTGCCGGATTCATTCTTTTCTGTCGCGTATTCCGTTACGTTAAAATTTGTCGTTTTAGTCTCGTTCGAAGCAACCTTTTGCGGTCTGCTTAACTTGAGGATGTTTGATTCTTTTTCCGCGATCACTTCGTAAGCGACGCATACGATCACGAAAAGGCAACTCAACGGACGTGCCATGCTTCCTCTGTTTATTATTAAAGAATCCACCTTGCAGAATTCACTCGCGCTTTGGGAAATGATCGACTAGATTTTTTTTATTTATAAACGGAGGAGATCAAGTTCACCGATTTCCGTCGTTAAGATCTCCAGATCCCGTCATCTTAGCTTTCGATGAAATTCCTCTTAGGAAGTCGTTGTAATGCTGTTGTAATGAGTGTTTACTCGACCGAATTCTCGAGCATGCCTGAAGAGATACGTGATTGCGGGAAATGCCGATTCAGTGTTCAGAATTCAGAGAATTACGCTTAATTGTGGTACTGATTTTGGCGAGCAAACACTAACGAATTTGCTACGGACTACAATGATTTAGATATATCAGGCTTAGCATCGCATTGATTGTCATAATCAATAATGTTTACAATAGCAATATGGTTATGATAGTTGTATTATTTGCGTGGAATATTCACATAAATGTTTAATTAATAAGCAACGTGTAATAAAAAAAACTTTTTCATTTTCGTTAAATTCTGATGTTAAAATATATTTATCAATTGCGATGTGTTTTTTAGTTTCACTGATTAAAGTTTTGAAAAAAAGGTAACGCGAATTGTACGGGGATAATCTATTCGATTTCAGCACTTTGCGATATGCACACGTTTTTTTCACTGATTAACGAACACACGGAGGAAAATTACAAAAAATCCCTCCAATGAGAAAGGTGCCCGCACATAAGACAGACTAAGGATCACGCACTGAATGAAGTGAATAAAGTCCGCAGCAACGTTCACCCGCGGATAGTAGGTTCCCCTTTCTCTTACGACGATGCACTTTACCGCCGTAAACGCATTTCCTTCTCCAGGTCGCGAAGAAATGTCGTGGCTTAGCCGGTTTTTCCACTGCTCGTGGTGGAACTCGTGGAAGACGTGTCTGATTGAGAATAGCTAATATTAACAAAATATTAATATTAATAAAATGTTTAAAAAATTTAATATTATTGTTTCGTTGTTAATATTTACTATTAATTATTATTAATAATCATGTTAATATTAATAATATAATAAAATTTAAGTATCAACTATATATTATTCCATTATTAATATTTATTATCTTATATTTTATTACAAAATACTTTGATGTAAATAATTTTTTTTAATTTTCATTGAAGTTTATAACGAATGCAACATTTTGTACTCGTAATCTCATCACAATTTCTCGGAAGAGTATACCCATATTGTCGGATACGCTTCATTTCTGATTATTAATCGGCTGTTCGCGATAATGACAAAAAATAGTTCTACATAATTGCAATAATGTGATGAACTATTATATTCGTCAATGTAAAGATTGCTTATATAAATAATAACTACTAAATTTTTCTTGTAAAAATTTTAGTTGTTCTGTATACTACATGGGTACTGTAAACGACAATTATTTATAATGCGGGCATCATAGATAGAATAAAAAATATGAGGGACACCATTTGTTTCGTATTAAAAATGCATAACAAAAATTACTATCTCGTTTTTACAAAAATCTAGACTTATACCGTGAAAACACAATATTTAAAAAAAATGTGTATTTTAAATAAATATTTTAACAAGAGACAGTAAAATACAGACTGCTGCGAATTCGCGCTGTTAAAATTGTGTAATACATTATAAGTAAGACTTGAATATGCTCGCATTACATTTCATGTGTACAGTCAGCAACTAAAAGATTGCAACACTTTCTTTTCGATGGGTTTCGGAATGTCGCTAGTTCACCGAGATATTGGTTCTTATTTATGGATCCATAAGAAAGAACCAATCACTCGATGAATAGGCTGCATTCTAAAATCTATTACAAAAAAATATTGTACATATTTCGACTTTTAATCATTTTCAACATTCAGTCAATATAGGCAATAAATTTAAATATTTAAGATCCAATGAAAATCATGATGTTCCATGAGAGATACCTATACATTCCTCATGAAACAGTCAATCTTATATCAGATTTGATATCAAATTTGACACGACAACAGCTCACTTCTCTTTGTCACGCTTAAGATAATTTTATTGTTAAAAATGTAAAATAATTTTGAATTTTAATATTAATATAATGTGTGAATATATTCAAATCTTATTTATATTGCAATGCGCAATTTTAACAACGCGAATTCCCAGTAGCCTGTTTTTTATTTTCTCTTGTTTTTTATTCATTTTGGGAATTTAATTATGTATCTTACTTAATTTTTTTAAAATACAGAGCTAAAAATGCATAAAAGATTAATATTTTAAAATGTAATGCTAAAAGAGTATATTTTATTTAAATGTATATTTTAAATAGATATTTTAAAATGCAAGAAAAAAATGTACGTAAATAATTAATTCAAAACCATAAATTTTGATTAGAGTAATTAGTGTAATTATACATTTAAGAAGATATTTTGTCTTATGAGACAAATCTTAATATTTTTTCACTCTAATAACATTTGTTGATAACAAATTTTATTATAATTAATAGCCTGTACAATTTATATTAAAAGTCAATTTATTTAATTTGCACACTGCGACATTATTCGTAAAACAGACTACATGTGCACTTTAATAGCATGTATTTTCTTACTTGGCGTACAGTCTTAAAATTAAATATTACATAATCATTACGAAATGAACTATATTCGTAAACATTGCTTATGATTTATGGTGCTTATACTATCGCGTAAATAAAGTTTCATCGAAAGCCAAGATTTAATTTTTTACATTGTAACGTTACTCGTAAATTATATTATGTATGCGCATAACATATATTTTCTTATGTAGTATATAGTCTCAAAATTAGACATTACATAATCATTGTGAAATCAACTAACGCTCGCAAACATTGCTCATAATTTATAGCACATTACTATTCAAATAAATAACCTATTTCAAGATAACTATATATTAAGAAATATTTATAAAGAATATGCTATTATTATTTCATAGAAAAATGTGTATTAAAAATGATTGACTCAGGAGAACTTGCTGCTTTTATTTGTAAAACGCAACTTAATAATAATTTATCATCACACATAATGAATACCAATTAATTTTTTTCCTCCATATTAAATTAAATCAAGAATTAATAAAAAACGATGGTAATATAATTATTTTCGTTTACCTTTTATTTGAAACAAAAGTAATTGTAATTTTAATTAATATATACGTTGGTACTCTGGTTGAGGGAACTATAGTACAGGTGTTTAATTCAGAAAATGTTAGCAGACTATTCCCGTCACGAATGTAAATCAGAGGAATGGCTAATTAGTAAAAGGCTCATATGGATTTCATTTCTGAGGTATGCGGTGGCTTAGAAGCCATTTACGTTATAATGCAAATAGCTATTCTCGCCCGTTAACTTATTGCATAGAGAGAGTATTTGAATGGTCTAATTATATATACGATATGTAGTTAATTCAAAAGTGTTGTTATTAATAGTTTTTAATAATCAATATTAATTGTTCATTTTCCGTTGCGTAGATATCTACATGATAACAACGCTTTTTGTTAAATGTATCATACACCAAAGCCAAAATCGTTCGATATTGAATATTTAGTTCAGTAATAAACAATTCACTCGATAAGCGAAGCATAATATCCGCAAATACACAAATACATATAGAAAATCCCTTTTTTTAATGTTATGTATATGGAAATCTTCAAGATTCTTATCAATGATAGATTTACGTATATTATCCATCATAAGAAGGTTTTTCTGTCATCTAAAATAATAAAGTGAATAGAGGAGAGATGATTGATCTTAGTTGAGATTGGCAGCGAATAAGCGATGTCGAGAAGGATGGAAATTGACGAGGTAGGTATTTTTCTGGATAGTATAGCCTGGAAAATGGTGAAAAAAGGGTTCTAAGACGAAGGGAATTTTCCTCATGAGAGGCACCTGGCTTACTCGGCTGTAAACAGAAGAAATATGAGTCTTATATCTGGAGGCAAGTGTAAGCTTTTTTTTTACTGACACAAAGATAAAGACAACGATGATAAAACGCCTCTTGCGTGTCTGACACTATGTCGACACTCGGATTTTCCTCTTTGTTTAATACAGAAGTCCAAAACTTTAATCGCCACTATATTTTATTCATATCGTGCTGCACACAGAATTTTCATTGTGCTACCAAAAGAGTAGAAATATACCAGAGAGGTAATATTAACTGCAAAACTTTATACTCCCCGACTCTCCATAAGTTTTCTCTGTATGCTTATACTTTTTATCTTTCCGTACTGTGGTGAGAGAATTATTGAAGATCTAAGTTTTTATCTCAGATGTAACGACCGTAAAAATCTACAACGTAAAAATATTATACGACACTTTACAAATCGATTTTCGCGTAAACGCATCGTTTCTTTTAATCGTTTTTTAAATTTACGAGATCAAACTTTCATAAACTATCTCATACTAAAGTAAACAAATCAGTTCTTGGAAAATGCAATGAGCTGACAACGTTTCACAGCAATGCGCCAAGAGAGTCACGTACAGTTTAGAAAAACTTTTACAGGGATTATATTCCGGTATGTACATACATGCATATAGTCGAAAATACTTTTAATTTCTTTATTACATACCCTGCTGTGTTACTTAATGTTTCACATATTTCATAAACTTGGAATGAACATTTCCTTTCGTTAAATCTTACTTGGAAATATCTTACTTGGAAGTGAGAAGGAAGTAATAATAACACATGAGTGTCAAGCGAATCCCGGATCTTCAGCGAAAATTGAGTAATAGAATGATCTTATGCAGCGTTTTCACTTTTATTTAATGTTTACATAAGGTCAATGCACGTAAAATTGTTACAAACAACTTTCAGCGACTCTCACCAACCGGCCGCAAAGTCCGTCGCGTTCCTGGGTGCATCGATAGTTTTCAAAGTTTCTCCGAATTTCCCAATCTGTCCCTCTTCATCATCCGTACGCCGTTGCTCTCATCTCCCTCCCTTTCTCGGAAACAACGTCTGGCGAGATCCGGTTGTGGCTTATGCAACCGAGCTTTCTACGTGATCGACTGCATGCATGTACGGTTCCGAACCAGTCCTTGCTCAGGAAGCGGGAGATCGGTTTCGAATCTTTGCTCTTGTTTTCGATGCACCGCGAAAGTATTCGTATTACGTATGCCGGCGTTGAATCTTTCTCTTTCAAGTCACACCGATGCTCTCGAGATTTTACAACCAGTGGTTATCATTAAGGTCGTGATGGCGATTTGGAACGTTGGCACGGATTTTAATTTTATCTATCTCTTATCGATTTACATAGATTATATAAATGACGTAGATAACGAAAAAAGCTTGAACATTTAGAATTAAAAGATATATGTACGAAGAGAATTAAATAATAACGTTATTATTTGATCTCCTCTATAGAATTTCTATAAAGAAAGAAGGGATCATGTTTCCATAAAAAGGAATTTCTCCTATGCCATGTACATTTAATGTTCCTTACACAAAGTAATAACATATTATATATTATATTATAAAGGTTTGCGAAATACCGC